TTGCCTTGGGAACCCGACCGTAAACGTGGTGCCGCTTCTGCGAGCAACTGTGTTCTGAACCTCCTTACTCCCTGGAGCGCTGGCCCAGCCCAAACGAAGAGCAAAGCTCCTCGTGACTTGGGGTTTAGGCCAGTTTTTCGTCCTTTTTGCTCGTGGACGCAGATGCGCAGTTGCCAGTAAAAAGAGCTGGATTTGGTTTCTGAAATGCTGCCCGGTTGCTCAGTGTTCAGGCAGCGCGGTGTGAGAGCCCCTGCAGGCAAGCCCCTGCAAAATGCTGTTGAGGTTCAGTAATGGAAGGAAGTGGGAAGGAGAGCCTGACTGATGTGCAAAATGTAAAATTTAATGGTGCTTGCGATGATACGAACTTCAACAGAGGAAGAGTATCTTCAGTGTTGCAGCATCAGTAACTGCTAAGGAAAAGTGGAGGTGATTAGATAGAGTTTGGGTGCAATTTCGTGGCAGAAGCTTGTCACTTGCTATAAATCTGAAGTGAACAGCCTTGCCTTTTTTCCCCCTAAATTTACACTCCTAAAAATAGTACTTTGCCATTGTGAGAAATAAGAAATTACTCAAAATGTAAACCATAATAAAACAGCAAACCAGCAACTGCTAGAAATTGCTAATTAGCAGGTTTTGCCACTAATCTAACCGTTGATTACTTTGAACATTGGCCTGAGTATCAAAAGAGTTAATTACTTGCCGTTTACTTTGCTAAGGAGATTATATTACAGAAGTAAGGACAAGACAAGCTCTGGCATGATCACAGGGGAAAGATTTACATTTGTAACTTAACAGTGAAAGAAAAAAGCCCCCAAAAACCTGTGCTGAATTTTATTGAATGCTATGATTGGGGCACTTGTATGTGAACTATTAGACCTTCCATTCTGGAACGTTGAGTTAAAAAACCACATAAAAGTGTTACATTTAATTTTAGAGGTGGATGTGTTTCCCATCCGCATGAAACTGATTTCCAGCCATTGTCTTGTAAATCACCTTTAGTTCGTATTTTTATTGTGAAACTCAACTGTCCCCTTGGTGAATCAAAAGCTGCTGGTGCTGCTGCAGCTTGCTTTGGGGTACAAATACAATTTTCCTCAACCATCTTGTGCTCTACCTGTCATTAGGTTGTAAGTCCTCTCCAAGAAATGTTAGATGAAGGTTGCCTCAGCCTCTTCTCCACAGGCTGAGGGGACAGGCACTCATTTTACTTCCCTGGTATTTCCGTTGGCTCTTCTAGGATAACTTCAGGAGCTGAGGTGTAGAATACACTCTTTATTGAGGGAGCTTTCTCAAAAGATGGTTATATAGAACGGAGATTATTTGCAGTGGCAGAGAGTGTTTTGCCTTCTGCAAGGTATAAATAAGGCTAATTTAGGGTCAAACTGAATTATTCTAAAGAAATGTTTCCCTCTCTCATGATGGGGAATCGGCTAGCCTCCCCCTTTACTAGCTCCCTAAAATTAGCCAGTATGAACACTCAGGTGCTGGTGGAGTGGATGCGAGGTGTGGATGAGTTACACGTAAGGTGGCTGCTGGATGCGATGGCTGAACCTTTGGTCGTGGTAGCAGGGACCAAGACAAGCGCTCTGCTGCAGCAGCAGCCGCCTGCTTCACAAGGTAGAAGTTTATCGCTGAGCTGCCTCTGCATGTGTTGATTCTTTAGAGTTGGCCATGAGCAGGTATCTGGTCTGGTCTGTGTAGTGCAAAACTTGTGGTTGATAGAGCATTTGATTTGTGAAGCCTATGAGGCTTCTGACAGATGTAAGGGAAAGATTTTCAAAGACACTCTAAGTCTGGTAGCCATACAGTTGGTGAATTAAGGGTATTTTGTTCATGCCACGGGTGTTGGTGTTCATGCTTGAAATCCGACATTAATCTCTAGGCAGGTGTAAATTGTCTACTCTTATCTCGAACGGGCTGACAGAATTTGGGGTTTGTTGTCACATCTGTGATACAGGGTTTGATTCTTGCCAGCACTGCTCAGTTTTGGCTTGGTAATGGTTCAATGGAAATAAAGGGCTGGTGCATTAATTCTGAGGCAGTGAAATCTCAGTTTTGTAGGAAAAAGGCTGCCAACCTCTGGTTCACAAATGGCTGGGATATTGTGACCTATATCTAGGGCAGGTTCTGAAAAAGGCATCATCTGCCGATAGGGTTACCTTTCCATGCAGAGGTTTGCTTCGTTTGAACGTTTTACAGGTATATAAGCCAAAGAAAAGTGAGGAAAGGGGGCTGGTTAGCTCAGTTGGTTGAGCATGGTGCTGATAACACCAAGGTCGTGGGTTCGATCCCCGTTCAGTCCCCATGTGTTGCCTGATCTAGTTGAGAGGCGTCCCTGCCATAACAGAGAGGTTGGATTAAATGATCCCTAAGGTCCCTTCTAGCCTAGGCCATTCTATGATTCTGTGAAACCATTGCTTTGAAACAAACCTTATTCTCTTGCGACTGAATATATTTGTCACTGGATATGTTTTGTTTCTCTGCTCTGCCTTCAAAAGTAGTGAGCTGGAGGAAGAGGAGTGCTTTTCTCAAGGGCAAGACTTGAGAGCTTTAGCTGCTGGAAAGAAGACAGAAAAAGAAGAATATCTTAACTCTTAAGTTGTTTTGATTTTTTTTTCCTCGGGATTTTAAGTGTGCTTGGTGATGTGAGGAAAAGACGGGCGACAACTATAGTGTCAAGTTAACCATGTTGTTGTGTTTACAACACAGAGTGCCTTTTTTTTTTCTTAAGGGGAAAAGAAATACGGATCCAAGACCTCCTAGCTTATTTTTTTCTTTTCTAAACATGACTAATTTTGGCTAGTTGAAACAGGAACATAACGAGGTACTAAAAATGTTAGAGCAGTGCACTGCTTATGCTGATTAACATTCCTGTGGGAACAGTTTAAACAGAAATAAGCGTGTGTGTAAGTTTACTTAAACCGTAAGGGAAAACGTCATCGTGTTTTTGCCAAGCTACGTCCCTACCTTTCTTTATCTGCTCCCTTGCAGCTAGAACTGGCTGCTCCTGGCCATGCACTTGGGTTGCATTTGCCATTCTCTGTTTCACAGCTCCTTCTAGGGGACAGAGATTTCCTGGTGCCTGAACAAAGCAGTGATTTTACATGCAGTTTCTTTTAGCCACTTTTAAAACAGTCAGACAGAATCTCCAAATCGCTCCTCTTGTAGAAATATTCACAGGTGAAGTGCAGGTACGAATCACTTTGATAATACACATTTGTACAGAGAAAATGCATTTATACCCCTGCAAGTAATCTAGAAAAAAAAACACAAATCAATCTTCAATCTGATCCAATTTACAAAATATTTTTCAACGTGGTCAAGGAAAGCAAACGCTAAAAGGAGGGATGTAAGTAGGCTGGTAGCAACAGTGAGAAGTAATCACTCAAAACCAGTGTTTCTAAAGGGATTTTATAAAGATTAAGGCTCATTCGGCTTTACATTTTTCTCCCTTATTTCAAAACAATCACTTCCAAAAAAATTTGCACTTTACGTGGAGGTTGGCTGATAGGTAGGTTGCACGTAGCTGTCTCCATTACTTGGTAAGCTGGGCCATTTTTAATAGTTACTGTGTTTTACTATAAACAAATACAAGATCATGTGTCCAAAAACTGAAATCAGTTTCTTCATATAAAGCAAGGTGCCTGTATCCTGACAAACAGTTATTGACAAAATGATCTACTGAGTACCTTGACAATATAGAGTGACTTCCAGTGCTGTGTTGGCAAGACTTAGGGAGATCCTTACGCGATGGAGCAGAAGCGATGAAGAGGAGTAGCACGTTGATTTGCTTTGGTTATTGTTATTATGAGACTGATAATGGGTATTCCTTCCCGTTCTCATGCCTGATTTTCCAACAGCCTCTTTAAAGTACAGATAAGGTTTAGAGAAAAACCAGCAAAATTATGCTGGAAAAAAAATTCTTTAGTGATACAATTAGAGGGTGTTCTGGCTTACCTCCAGCATGCTTCCACAGGAGGTGGAATATCTGGTTCCAAAGGACTTTTAATATAGCTGAATTACGTGGAGAAAGCATCATCAGCTGTGAGTCGCCGTTAGACAACTCACAAGGGATGTGAGGTGGTATTTTTGATGGTATGTGTGAATAACCATTAGAAGAAGCTCAAAGAGAAGTGACAGGTTTCTTTTGCAATTCAAAATTGTGATGCTCTCCTGGAGAATGTACTTGGTGCGACATGACTCATTGGGTATCATGTGGGGACAACGCTGTGAAATCTGCATCTTCTGGTGTAATGCGAGATGAGATGACTCACTTGTCCATTCCCTCCCTAGATTCTATCGAGCTGAAAACTGCCCTATATTTTCCTTTAAATATGTTACTGGGGTTGTTTTTTGAAGTAAATTATGATTTTTTTAAAAAAAAATCCCCCATCTTTAATATATCTAGATCTGTCATGTAAGATTTATCCATAATGGGGCTATCTTTTGTGGTGTTTTGAATTCATTGTTGGCTGCAACGTTCTTTAAACATACTCCCAGAACCACTTCTTTCTTTCCTTCCTTTCTCTCTTCTCTATATATTGCCACTTTCTTGGAGACTGTTTGGGTCAGAGACTTTCATATGCAGCTCTAAGTTTACAAGCTTCTTTCTAAAATTAACTGTTTCTCTCTCTTAAAACACATATTCAAACTTTAATCGAGGGACTTGAAGATATTCCTGTGTTACTGGCTAGTCACTTCTAGTTCACTATTACCGAACTGAGTATAAATAAAATGCCATATTACAAAGTTTTGGTGTTTTTTGGCTGCTGTTGAGCTGTTGAGGTTGATCATTAGGTAATCCTTTTGATGAGGCTTCCACAGATGCATACTCTGGTTTCAATCAAGCTTTTTTTTTTAAAGTGGAGGAAAGCAAAACCAAAAGAGTGCATCTCAATCTGCTAGTCTGAATTGCAGCGTGCTTGCTTCCTTTAGTTGATATTCTGTGCAAACCTGCCCATACGTGACTGCTTTCTCTAACATGTATGTTTGATCTTCAGATCTCCGATGGCCAAGGAGATGAGCGATCAGAGTCTCCCTATGAAAGTGCTGATGAAACTCAGACTGAAGTGTCTATATCATCCAAAAAATCTGAGCGAGGAGCAGGAACAAAAAAAGAATATGTGTGTCAGGTGAGAGATGTTAGCTGGCGCAATGAGCTATGTTTTCGGAGATTTCCTAGAAAAAAAAGTCTTTTTAAATATGGAAATGACAATAGTACAGCAGAAACAGGGTTATGGTGTGTCCGAGGTGCCTGTTAGTGATGAGGGTGCCATGCCATTAAATGGAATCCTCATTCCTGCCTTTTTTTTTTATTTCCTTGACCTCCAGTAAGTGACTTAACCTTTCTGCTTGAGTTTCCAGATCTCTAAGATAAGTATAGTTTGTACCTTGGAATAAACGCGAGGGTGTTGCCAGGTAACTAGTTAAGTGGTTGAGAAGAGCTGCTCGCTTATCTGTTAATAGAGAGGGGGAGGTAAAACCCAGTGGGTTTTGTGCTTCTGCGCGCAGCAGAGATTGCCGCGGTGCATTGGTAGCAGCGCGCGTGTGGCGAGCTGATAGAAAGCAAAAAGCTTTCTCAGAACTATTCCAGAAGATTCCTTAAATTAAGAAATGCTAACACCAAGCAAATGGGCAGATCGAATTTGTTTCCACAAGGCCGAGCAAAGAGTTCTATTTCCATTTCTTGTACATAGTGATGATGAGGCTGTATCTATCTTTAACTGTTGGCTGATGCCTTAAATTCTGCCAGCATTATTGTTTGGTTCATTTTTAGTTACGCGTGTGTCATTGCTAACCACTCGGACATAGAGGTATCATTGTGCCAGCTAGATTAATTCCCTTTTGCCGCGGAAAAGGAAAACAAGGATGGTTTTTAACCCTACTCAGATGCATCAGTGTGCTCAGGGAAAAATTTCTTAAAGCTTTTTTTTCTTTTCCTTTTTTTTTGCCAAGTTGTATTTACTCATGAACTGTGGTTCTGTGAGTGATATTTCTAGCTGTTTAACGGCTCTCTCTTATTTGTTTCAACTGGAAGCCAGGGCACATGATGATGCTTGTAAGATTATCTTTCACTTGTTAAATTTGATTTCAACAATGGGAAAAGAGATTTTGAGGAGTGATATATGAGAGGGAATAAAGAAAACAGTTTCTTCCACATATGAACTTTTCTTTAACATTCAATGCCTTTGTGTTGTAAAAGCTGTGTGAAAAAACAGGTGATCTCCTCCTGTGTGAAGGACTTTGCTATCGAGCTTTTCACCTAAGCTGCCTTGGGCTCTCTGGAAGACCAGCAGGAAAATTCATTTGTAGTGAATGTACATCAGGCAAGTTTGTCCCTTTCTATTAATTTAAAAAAAAAAAAAAAAAAAAAAAGAAAGTAGTTTTCCCATACGTTGTTCTAGGAAATCCTCCGGGACAAAGTATGTATCTTTGGAGAAACCATGTTTATGCTTTGGTGCCTGACGAGGGTGGGAGTTCGTACAGCACCGTTAAATGTTCAGTGAGAACTCTATTGCAGCTTGGCTGATTTAGTCTGAATTCCTTTGCCTTAATAACTGCACAATATTTGCCCTCTGAGTGCAATTACAGATTAGATTTGAAGTCAGTCACAAAGAGTTCAGAAATCCGAGGCAAAAAAATCAGCAAGTGAAACATTTTAAGTCCTTTTTCAGTCCTTTGTGTGTCTACATCAATCTTTTGCTTTTCCTGTTAAAAGACTACCTTATTGCTATTAATTTCATTTGCTTTTAATCCTGTAATAACTGCTTGAAAGTTCTTAATCTTAAAATTTTACATAAAAGCTTTGCGTTCTTGCTCATAAGCTCATGGTGAACCTTATTGGAACAAAGATGCTTCCAAAACAAAACAAAGCTGTTCCAAGCGGTCCAGAGAGGAGATTAACAGATGCTTGTCTTGTTTTCTGGATCTACTTCCAGTTTCACAACATTGTGGACAACGCATCATCCTGTTTCAGTGCTTTGCAAAAAATAAAATAAAAAATTCATAGTCGTCCTGGCACACTGAGGCTTATAAATAAGAACGTAAAAGCAGATCGGTGAGGGTTTGGGTGCTGTGTACGCTTTAGCTGCAGGGGGTTCGCACTGTAACTGCTTTATCTGTATCTGAGCAGATTAGATTTAAACCAAAGAATTAAATAGATTGCTGCATCAATTAATAGAATTTTATCTGAGTTTGGTTAAAGAAAAAAAAAAAGCACAACAAAAGCAACTCCCCCACGCGTTACAAAATCTCACGACAGAAGCATTTTAAATTCATATGTTTGGGTGAATACTTGGTTACATTATTTTTACTGCTTTTGCCACTAGGTGTGCATACCTGTTTTGTGTGTAAAGAGAGAAAGGCAGATGTGAAACGCTGTGTCGTATCCCACTGCGGGAAATTCTACCATGAAGCTTGTGTGAAAAAATTTCATCTTACTGTGTTTGAGAACAGGGGGTTTCGATGTCCTCTCCACAGCTGCCTCAGTTGTCATGTTAGTAACCCCTCACATCCACGAATTTCAAAAGGTAGTTTCATTTTACGTTTTTATGACTGATGAATTAAGTCTGTTTATGGTATTTTAAGGTAAGGAATCTGTCAGTTTAATAGCTGCTGGGTGTAATTTTTCAGGCACGCATGGACTACAGTTTGATTCGGGATTTTTTTTTTTTAATAATAAATGAATAATTTTTAGTCAACATTTGTATTGACCTTGTTCATGTTCTTGTTTTTAACTAGCTTTCAGTTATCTGTAGTTAACCATGTTAAATCTAGAATGCATATACGATGAGGAGAGTCAGGCTGAGCATAGCGAAGGCAAGACCTGCAAATGCAGAAATACTGCAGCAAGGTTGGAGACATTTGGTTCTGTGCGTATTTTTAGCTTTGGACAATATCTGTAGATAAAATAGCATGACTGAGGAAAGCTTGTCTACCCTGGCGTGCATAGTTAAAACCTTCACATTTAAATATTACAGTGCTTTAAACTCAGTACGGGGTTCTTCAAAAACCTTTGTTAATCCAGTATTGTTGCTAAATGCTAATATGCAGACTTTGAAAACATAATTGATTTATTTTTGTGTGTATTTAAGCTACTTCAGGCAGAACTGCCTTTTTTTTTTCTTTTTTTGCTAGCTCAGATAATCAGTTTTGTTCAAAATTAACACAGCAGTGTTCTGCTTTGCTAGGGAAGATGATGCGTTGTGTCCGCTGTCCTGTCGCATACCATGCTGGAGACGTTTGCATTGCTGCGGGATGTGCCGTCATCGCTTCCAACAGCATTGTGTGTTCCAATCATTTCACTGCCATGAAAGGAAAAAGCCATCACGCGCATGTCAATGTGAGCTGGTGCTTTGTGTGTTCAAAAGGTAAACGGATGTGAAAAACTCTTTGGTAAATATGAGGCATCAAAACATTTTATTCTTCACATTTATTTTACTAATCCGTGTGTAGAAAATTATTAGAAATCTGGCATATTAGGTTAGGCTCCCTTAGGTACTGAGATAACTTCAGGCTGGCTTGTGCTGCTTCAAGTTTTTGAGTTTTCTGTTTTGCAGATACAATTTATTAAAGAATGTTTTTACTTGGACTTTGTCCAGCAACCAGAAGCCTGATTTAATTCTTTACCAAAGGCACGTAACGAGAAGTATTTCTCTGTTCTTTCCCCTGTGTTCAGTGTACTGACGCTTTTTGTGTTTCTTTATTGCTAAATACATAATATTAAAACATAAATATTTTGAGAGTTGCTTTTAGTTTCGCAGCAGACAGCAAGTTGAGTTAGTATTAGTTGCTGCTTGGAGTGCCTCTAATTAAGGCTGTTTTGGCTTATATTGTGCAATAAATTTATGTCTTATTGAGAACCACAAAATGCACAGCGCTGATTAAACTGGAGCAGTGAAAGTTTACCTGATTTGTTAACAAATTAACGTGCAGCGTAGCAGCTTTTAAGCTGCAGCTAACTTTCCACTTGATAATTCATGGAACAAACTAACAACCTGATTCCCCCCAGGAAAAACATGACAGTTAAAATTTTTTAAATTTTTCATGTGGTGAAATATTAATATCTATTAAGCTGTATTAAGTATATTGTAGTTGCGAAAGTAACACGAAGTAATTATAATTTGTGGTGCATTTTTCTGGCTTTTTTATCGCTAGCTTGCTTGTTACTTTGTATGCATTACTAATCCAAGTCTGCCAGGCATTCAAATTAGAAAGGACCCTTTGGGTTTTGTACACAAGTAAACGATAGGTGTTTGTTGCAGGCCAGCATGTTTTAACTGTTTATTTTCTAAGGGAACCCACCTCCTGTGTGTCGCACCACTTTGAACCTGGTTGCAATGCAAAGCTTCTTATTTTTGTCTCGATGTTATTCAAACATGTGGTTTTTATTTTTCTCTCTGAAGGAGGAAGCTTGTTGTGCTGCGAGTCGTGTCCTGCAGCCTTTCACCCCGACTGCTTAAATATCGAAATGCCAGATGGGAGCTGGTACTGCAATGACTGCAGGGCAGGGAAGAAGCTCCATTTCCAGGATATTATTTGGGTTAAACTGGGCAACTACAGGTCTGATGAACAGATTAATTTTGTTTTACAGTACTGGCATGCCTAATTAGGGCTCCTCCAGTTGGTTGCTTCCGTAGGCCAGCCTTGCTCCCTGAACTAGGGACCCCATGTCCTTGCACGCTTCAGGTTCAAAGACTTGTAGCTTCACTGTTTACCCCCAGAGGACTCCGTGTAGTCTCCTGACCTCTGCTTCCAGTGCATGAGTCTTCAACTCCTTAGATTTCAGAGATCTCTTCAACTAATTAACCTGCTATAGCTTGTAATTGGCTAAATTACTGCCTTGCAGGCTGGGAGATAAGTCACTCAGGTTGTCAGGTTTCCACTTTGTTGAGATTTGAGTGAGATAGAGTGGGTGGGGTTTACCCAAGAGAGCATTAATACCTGTCTCTTGATCTTTGAGAGTTAACAGCCTTGTTAAAGGTGATGGTTTTTTTAAAGATGGTGTTAAAGATGCAAAGACCTTGTAAGTTTATTATACAGGCAGGCAAAAGTCTCACAGACTTGACTGTCTGGCTTTCCTTTTCTAATCCTTTCTTCTCTCTTTGCCTGGTGATTGAGGGGAGGAAATTATTTTAAATCCATTTGGATCTTGGAAATAATAGTTCTTGGAAATAATAGTTGGTTACTGCTGTTTAGGGTGGTTTTGTTAAACTGTCTCTTGCAGAAAGAGCTTGACTAAAATGCTGTATTTTTTTATTTGTATTTCTGTGCTAGATGGTGGCCTGCAGAAGTTTGCCATCCAAAAAACGTTCCCCCAAATATCCAGAAAATGAAGCATGAAATCGGAGAATTCCCTGTGTTTTTCTTTGGTTCTAAGGATTACTACTGGACGCACCAAGCGCGGGTGTTCCCTTACATGGAGGGAGATAGAGGGAGTAGATACCAGGGCATCAAAGGAATTGGAAAAGTCTTCAAAAATGGTACATAGCTAAAAGTAAACAAAAATAATCTTGTGATGTGCATGTATTTACTACCCACATAGCCTTGGGTCTGGTTTTGTACATTTGTTTAACAATGTTGATTTTTTTTTAAAAAAATATGTTTTGGCGTCCTGGGCAGCAGTCAGTATTAATAACTTTGAATGAAAGCGTTATTTTCAGGGCTTGTAAAAGACTAGCACCTAACTGGAATTATTTCTGATGAGTTTTACTTTCCGGAAGAGAAACAATGAGCGTATCTGAGAGAGAGAAGAAGTAGAACTGATATATCTGTTAAGAACATCAACAGCCCAGAAGCACAGTTTTCAAGAAAATTGAATGATAGGGCTAGGAAGTGGAAGATGACATGTATGGGAATGAGCAAGTCAGCTTGGTGGGAATAATCCTATCTCTAGCATTTCTGTTGATAAAACAATCTTTTTTAGCTTTGCAAGAAGCTGAAGCCCGATTTCGAGAAATAAAGCTGCAGCGAGAAGCCAAAGAAACCCAGGAAAGTGAACGTAAACCTCCACCGTACAAGCATATTAAGGTAAAGTTTGAGGCAATTACACTGTGTACTCAATGGTCTCAGACAGCAGTGGAGAGGAAGAGCTGAGTGGTTGTAATGATTCTACAGTCATGAGATTATGAAGTTTTGCTTCCATTGGAACACCTAATGTTGCAAAGCCTAATTGGTAACCACTGTAATAACTGTTAACAACAAACACGAGTGTTCTAAAGTGATCTTTTAATGTATTATTCAGGTGAACAAACCTTGTGGTAAAGTGCAGATTTATACTGCTGACATTTCTGAGATTCCCAAGTGCAACTGCAAACCCACAGACGAAAACCCGTGTGGTTTTGATTCCGAGTGCCTGAATCGGATGCTGATGTACGAGTGCCATCCACAAGTGTGCCCGGCGGGAGAGCGGTGCCAAAACCAGTGCTTTACGAAACGCCAGTACCCCGAGACAAAGATCATCAAGACTGATGGGAAAGGGTGGGGACTGGTCTCGGTGAGGGACATTAAAAAGGTAGGAATCGTACTCACATAGCAAAGAATCATCGCCTCTTTGCGCTGCTCTCTGTGGGTTTGGTATATACTTCACTAGTGATACTTGGTATCTTCCAGGGAGAGTTTGTGAATGAGTATGTCGGTGAGCTGATCGATGAAGAGGAATGCATGGCAAGAATCAAATACGCACACGAAAATGACATTACCCACTTCTATATGCTTACGATTGATAAGGTACTTTACTTTTTTTTTCCCTGTTATTTAATTATAACGTTATTCTGATCTCTTTTTCCTTCTGTTGGTAACCTTGGTAGGGCACTCTGCTACCTTTGATGTTCCACGGTTTCGTATATTCACAAGCTGTATCTTCTGTGCCTGCTTGCTCCATTCTATATACATAATGCATCTCGTTAATTCTGACTGCATAATGTAATAAAGTACATATTAAGGTCTATAGATTGTGCTTTGTTGCTTGAAAACAAGTACAGTATGTAGAAGTGTTTATCTGCCTAGTCTTAAAGGAAGTATAATTTTGGGAAATAGTGATGATACAGTTGAAGGAATTACTGTTAGCAAAAATTAGAATTACTGTTGCTAGAATTTCAACAACAACAATCTTATCTGAGGGTAGCCTAGAATATAGTTGTGAGGTTGTGTCCTGTATTGGGCATTTAATTTTTTTTTTGCAACTACCTGTCTCTTTTTTTATAGCAAACTAGGCTTCTGCTTTCTGTAGAAACTCTTTTCTGAAAGCACTAACTGCATTAGGAGCCAGCCAGCACTCCACTAATTGATTCTGCAACAAATTAATTTAGCAGATTAATTAATACAGCAAATTAACGGAGCATCTGTGATTCTCTGTGCACATGTCTCGAGTGGTTTGTTCCTGGGAAAGGGAAGAAAGTGGAGAACCCGGATGGTAGGGGATATTGATGATATATATTATATTGCTTCAGTCCCCAAACAGCTGCTTAGGAGAAAAACAGGAGTTGGGTGTCAGCTCTGTGTATTTTTTGAGTCTTAATCACCTTTCTTTTGCCTGTCCTGCTCTCTATTTCCACAGCTACTGTTTTTGTTAACCCTGTGACTGAGGAGTTCCTGCACAGGAGTTATCACCTAAGAATGATGAAACCGTGTTTCTCTGAACACTTCAGTTTCTCACCCCTCTGCTAAACTGACATATGTCAGTGTGTTAAATATCTGAACTGAGCATGTATTTGACTCTTGCCATAGTTAATAACTGATTGCTGTGGTTCTACCTTGTAGAAATGCCCTTGCCATTATGAGCCTGAGCTGCACGTGCAGGTCGCGTGGCTGGATGTATGTGCACATAGGCGTGACAACCATACATGTGCATTATAAAAATGAGTTAGAAAGTAATAATATTTCATAAATAAGCAAATCTTTCTTAAGCAGCTCTGCAGAGAAACACAGGTCTGGCTATTTCAAGACTTTATGTTGTTTTGTTAATGTCTGGTGGAGACAGAAATTAAAAGGAAGTTGTGTGTAAGGATGGGATTTTTTATTTTTTTTACTTTACCAAAAGCTTGTCTGTGTTTAAACTAGGGTGATTTGGGGAAGGCGAGCTGGTGAGAAACTGGTAATCTCTGCAGGTAATCGTGCAGTGACTTGGTAGATACCGTAAAGCAGAGTATTTGTAAATGCATCACAGCTTTTCGAATGCAGAGTAAAAGGTAAAGGGACTCAGTTAGAGCTTTGAGGCTTCCTGGAGGAAGGCGGTTCTTGAACAAGACCAGCACAGTGCTCACTGGAACACTTATCCTGCCACGTGGCTGCGATGGGTTCTGCGAAAACGTGAGCTATAGCACGAGTATTGCATTGGGAGTGTCCCATTCCAGGCCACGTGAGACACTACAGTTCTCAATACAACAGGGGCCGTCCGTTTGTTCGTGTGCTTCTGGGTCACAACACCCGGTCTGGTTTGAACGCAACTACTGAAATAATTTATGGAATTCTTTTATTTTTTATTTGTTGAGGGGGGGAAGAAAAAAACCATTCATTCTCCTGCTGGTTTGATCTCCAGGACCGTATTATTGATGCTGGCCCCAAAGGAAACTACTCTCGGTTTATGAATCACAGCTGCCAACCAAATTGTGAAACTCTAAAATGGACAGTAAATGGAGACACTCGTGTCGGGCTGTTTGCTGTGTGTGATATTCCTGCAGGTATATCAGCTTCTGTTGGTTTTGGGTTAGTTCCCTAAGTCAAACCTTATGCACAGTTACGAGCGGAATGGTCATGGCTGAACTGATTCAGTGCAAATGTTTTTGTAGAGAACTCGGCAAACAAGAGACGCTCTGTGTGTGCTCTGCCTTTTACTTTAATGTTTCTTAATAGTCCCATGGCTGCCTTTTGTTGTTTGCTTCCAAGGGAAGAGACCATACTTAGTATCCTTGTGTTTGCTTCATGTTGTAGAGTGTAATTTTTGTTATAGAGATCTCAAACGCTACTTCTGCATCTTCTCAAGTGAAAATAGTAAGCTTAAGGAGTGGATGTAGGAGCCCAGTTGAAAGTATATCTGTTCTTGTTTGTGCACACACACATCTATCTATCTATACCTATATCTAGCTGTATAGAGATATATATATAATGTGTGTGTGCGTAGACCAGACACATACACAATTTTCTGAAGTCAAACCTATTTATTGTAGAAATGTGGTTGCATCAGGCATCGTACTGTACTGGCCTCTCGTTCATCATTGTCAGTGCTTATAAGCAGTAAAGAAGGGGAAAATGTTACGCCAACAGATGAACAAGCAAGTACAAAACAAGAATACAGATAACGAAACCCTTATTTGTTTGGAATAATTTTGATAGACATCATTACCTTGTCCTTAATAATGAAAGGGTATGTCTTATCTCACTCAGGGACAGAGCTGACGTTTAATTACAACCTTGACTGTCTGGGCAATGAAAAAACAGTCTGCAAATGTGGTGCCCCAAACTGCAGTGGATTTCTTGGGGACAGACCAAAGGCAAGTAATATATCAAGACATTTTGACAGTGTCTTGCCAACTAACCTCATTTTTCTTTTGCGTTATATATTAGTGAACCAGGTTTATGTTGTGATATTTTGTCCCACTTTCTCCTGTGAGGAATTATTTACTCTGGGTCCTAAATAAGAAATAATGCTAGCTGCTGGCACCAGTTTCTGGAATCAAAAGCATATCAAACAAAGAGGTTGCAGAAGGAATAATCTTCCCATTCCCATTTGAAGTATGGAGAGGAGGTCCTTCACACTGCTCGGTATCAGGCACTTCAGAAGGTGGCTCTCCAGAAATCACATCGATGGTTTTTGTGAAGGGACAGGATTACACGAAGTGTTACATGAGACTGGGATCGATTTACGCAGACAGCCACGGAGAAATGAAATGTACGGGTTGGTTTTGCAGGGCTGTCTGCATTGGCAGATATGCTATGGGCTAATTTTTTAGAAAGTAGGTAATGATTACTGGGGTGAGGGAGTGATGGCAGGGATGTTGACAAAACATCCGGAAGGAATTTTATATGATTTGGAGAAGAATTGAAGTGCAAGCAGCAGGATACCAGATCGAAATTAGAATGATAAGGATGGTATATTCTTGCTAGCGTTATGGGCACAGCTACAGTTCCTGAAATTCTTCCTCAAAGAGAAGTGGAGTCTGTTTTCAGTAATTCCAGCATGAGTGTACACGACTGGAAAAGAAAAATGAACATCAAAGTGATTTGTGGTGCAAGAGCAAAATGGGGGTAAAGTAGCCACCAGTAGATTGGACTTGGAAATTGGAAGACCATTTTTCAATAAAGCTGAAAGTGCTTTCCAGTAGGAAGGGATTGCAGGAACAAGATCTGGTTTCACGATGAACTTTTCACATGGGTCAGTGGGGGTTTTTTGTCAACACAGATAGATACAGTGTGGCACGGAACAGATCTGCACCAAGTCACATTTTTGTCCCTGTGCACAGTCTGCCAGGCACACCAACAGTTTTGTAAGTTGTGAAATATTTTTCCTTTGCAAAACTGGCATTTACAGATTTGCCCCTTACCCTTGTAGAATTCTTCCACTAATGCCTCAGAAGAAAAAGGTAAGAAGACCAAAAAGAGAACACGGAGACGCAGAACAAAAAACGAGTGGAAGAAAGAATCTGAAGATGATTGTTTCCGTTGTGGTGATGGAGGCCAGCTGGTACTGTGCGACAGGAAATCTTGTACTAAAGCTTATCATCTCTCCTGTCTTGGTTTGGTGAAACGTCCCTTTGGTGAGTCAGTTTGCCTCTTAAACTCGTGTCAACACACAGCTTGTGCAGGTACCTCATTTATTGCACTGAAACCATGTCGAGAGCGTCACCCTAAAAACATTTTCACATGGTGAGAACTTCGTTGTTGCATTGTGTAGGAGCTCTTCCCGAATATGGAGACAAAAGATGGCCTTCCTTCTGCCTCTCTGGCAAAATGAGCCTTTTGTTTTACAAATGTAGGTAATTGAGTACATCATGCAGTTGAGGACATCACCCGGTAGGAGCACTGTGGGCCTGTCACAAGGAAGTAGATTATATCTAAGAACACATGGAGCCAGTTGTGTTCAAGCCAAAAGAATAGCAGCAGCACCTGGAACAAGGCGAGTAGGGCAATGTTAACTGCTGCGGATGTTGGGGTGCACTCCCAGATACCGCAGGGGTTACCTGGTTTCAGTCAGCCGCGTCAGGTGGGGTATGAAGAAGTGAAGCAGGCAAAGCCGGTCATCCCAGAAACAAGAAAAACGATTGTAAAATATGCTGGGGAGAAAGAGCGTCTGCAGGTAAAGCACACCAGCCGTCCCTGAGCAAAACTTGGAACAAGTGGGTGAGCCTTGGAACAGTTGGCAGCAGCTGGCTGGGTGTGGGATACTCTACCAGCCTGCGAGTTCTGTAAAATGCTATTGAGTAAAGCCAGAGTAATTTCTTCTAGCTGGAGCTGACTGCTGCTCTTGGGTGAGAGGATGTCAAGTCTGCTGCTTACAGCTGTCAGTTGGGCTGTAGAAGCACGATGTAGCACTTGATTTTTGAGATTAGCTGCGGTAGTTGCTGTCTCGTCGTGCTTTGTCAGGAAAGTTGTGTGCTGTTTGGCTGCTAAAACAGAAAATTCTTTTAAAATCAGATGATGACATGTTTTACTAAAGCACTCTTTGGTTTTGATCGCAGGGAAGTGGGAGTGTCCTTGGCACCACTGTGATGTTTGTGGCAAACCTTCAGTTTCCTTCTGCCACTTCTGCCCAAATTCTTTCTGTAAGGAACACCAGGACGGGACAGTACTAAATTCCACGTTGAATGGACAGTTATGCTGCTCTGAACACGTTCTTGGGGTGGATTCTGTTGAAACTCAGAAGACTGAGAAACCCCGCAAAAAACTGAACAAGTTGAAGCCTAAGAGAAAGCAGAGGAACAGATGGACGAGAGCTGACTGCAAATAGTCACGGACTGCAGTTTCTGCTGCCAACACTATCTTGTAGATAAGTTGTGAATATGACCAGGGAAGGACACAATTTTACATATATTCTGTAAAGGTTACGGTATTTTGTTTCGTTTTGGTTTTGTTTTGTTTTGATAAATCCACTGAGCCAACCACAGCAGTCTTCTGCTGCTTCTGCACTGATAACGAACTGCATAGTTCAGAAAATTTCAGGACAAACCAAACTTATTAACTCAGCATTACAGTTACACTTGAATTGTTACGAATGTAAAAGGTTCCCTCCAAAATACTCGCGGACTTGGAGGTAGGTTAAAATCAAACCAGGTAGGCGTAAACATAGGTGTTTGAGGTAGTATTTGTCAACCAACAGATGTTTAAAATAGTATATCTTGGAAAGAACTTATTAGCTCTCAAGTCCCTTTAAGTAAGAAATGGCTTGGTCTGTGGTCCCAATGAGATTTGCTTGCCTTGTGTGTTTTTGAGCAAGTGCTCGAATGACTTTCATGATCCAGGTGCTTGTGTCGCTGCAACCACACACGTAACAATTCGTTCGTGCTCTCATAAAATAGCTCTCCAGTGATTCGTAAACAAACATGGTTTAAAATATCCTTCCACCAAGAAGTATAGTGTGTGGTGGGGAAGGCACACCCTGTACCAGAGAGGGGAAATCTTAGGTTGGAAGAGATTTTTTCTATACTGTTTTTTCCTGTAGTTCATTCCGGCGAGACAGAAGTGACTTGATCTTGCAGAGCTGTACGAGTCTGGATTTAAAGGGATATTGTCTTGCAACCTAGGCCCACTACTCAAGGATTTTTGTGTCTTAATAGAAGTAAATCTTACAAAACCTATTATTTGAAAAAATTAGTTAATTTTTTTTTTCTTAATGTCAAGTAAAACACAGATGCAAACATTTCATTGGAATGTTTGGAGCATTACAAATTTGTGATAATGCAAAAAATGCCTGACAAGGAACGAAAAAAACCCCAACCATGAATGAAAGAGAAGGTGAAACTTGACTAAAGTGCAAAAGCTAAATTCAACCAACTAATTAAAAGTGAAAAAGATTTTTGAAGAAGCACATTGGAACAATTTTAATGTGAAATTTAGCCCAGCTCTGTTCTTTTTGATAAACTTTATATAAAACTGGCAAACCGACTTGGCAGACCAAAATTATTTTTAAAAATTTTTGAGGGGTTCTGCTCTCGGTTACCCTGTCACCACTGTGTTGTGTCAGCAAAGCCGTCTGGAATTATTTGCCCCCATTAGGTTCTCTCGCTGGCAGTGAGACAAATATACAAGACTTAAGATTGATGGAAATAATATTAGAACTAGGAAAAAATGGTAAAGAAAAAACGTCTTTACTCGTTTTCTTCCCAGTGCGTGTCCGTGGTGTGTGCCCAGGCAGCGTTACAGGTGCGGTTCGACTTGTGCCCTTGTTCCCGTTGTAAACACAACGTGCGCCTTCACGTCCATTTAGGGATTTGTGTACGTTCTAGCTTAGTTTGCCCTTAATAGTGCGGAAACTCTGTGTAGCCCCTTTAAAAATGAAGCCTTGCTATATCATGAAAGTGAATGTTTTGGGGTTTTTTTTGGTTTTTTTACCCCAAAGTATTTCTTCAGGATTTGACTGCAGATTTAGTTTTTGGAATTATTGAAATCCCTATGCGTTCCCAACATGTAAAAACTTTGGTTTTATTAGAAGATGTTACTTGAAAGAGGTTTTAAATGTAGCATTTGATGAAACTGCTTTCTTCTTCTGATCAATTTTTATAAATGCAGTTGGAAGGTTAAATTGTTTTTCGAATAATTTTGAAAAAATAGCACAGTTCAAAATAGGGGGAGTGTTACGTGTTTGCATTTTTCTGACTAGTATGCCAAGCCTTGCACTTGAGCTAAAAATCAAGGTTTCTTAATTGACTTTGAGGGCGGCTTTCCCTCTGCTATATATATTTGTTATATCAGGACTGAACAGCACAGGCCTGTGCCAAAAACCAAAACCAAAAAGTGGTGTTATGTGTGTTTCTCCAGTATTGGTTTTTGAGGGGAGGAAAATGAGATCAGGTAGTAAAGCAGAAAGATTTTCCTCATTGCTTTTAAACAAAATGAAGGAATTTTATGTCATTGGGACCATTCTTCGAATACTATACTATGTAAGGAAGGCTTTATAAGAATACCTTTAAATAAGTTATTATAAAATTTTACCTTGACATTCCATTGCTTTTATAATTTGTTAATTTTTTTTTAGTTGTTTCGTTGTTTTTTCCTCTTCGTGTGTAGGCGTAACAGCTCTGGCACCCCGGAACAGTTACGCCCCAGCTGCTCCGAGGCAGATGCACACTTCCAGAAGCCACCGTCTCAAACAGCTACTGGCTGGTAACAGCGCCCGCGGCACGATGGGTCGCAGAGCCCACAGCTCCCTGTCACCAGCACATTTAGCACGGCGGGACGCAGCACAGCCGCCCGTTTTGTATCTGTCTGTGGGTTAAATAAAGACTTTGGCGTTCAAAGCGATCCCTCTTGGTGCTCTTTCCGTAACGCTGAGTTTACACAAACGGATCTCGAGCAAGCGGCTGTTGGACTTTCCGCTTCCTTCTACCTCCTCTCTGCTCCTGGCTCCTCAGCTCTTGGGGCCAGCGAAGGCTCGCGTTGCCGAGACTGCCGGCTAGAGGTTTGCTTTAGAGTGGCTACGACTTCATCCGTCCTGCTTTGGAGCTTGTTCTGGAAGAGGAGCGTGGATCATGTTCTCCCTCGATACGTACCGACCGTGTAACCCCGTGAGCTCAGCTGTGTCACTCAGGTGGTCATCGGGTAGAATTTTAGTTTCTGAATCAGGAAATGTGGTTTTCAGGTGTCTTCATGAAGGCTTCTGTACCTTACTCCACAGCACTGGGAAAACAGGCTGAAGTTTTGTTAAGAAGGCGAAAGAAAAGTTGTTTCACTCTTTTCCTTCTCCCACTGTTCAAATACAAGGGTAAACAGCCCTGAAAAATTAAGCTTTCTCATGATGTGAATTCAGCAACTTAAAAGGTTTTCTTTTATAAATTCATCTTAAGTAACATCTAAGTATGGCCCATTAGGTGGCATTAAATTATGTACTTGGCCTCTTGCCCACTGAAGTAGAAAGATGTCTTTCCTTTTCCAGCAAGCTCTCCAAAGCTGGTACGATAGCCAAATTTAGAATTTGTTGTTCTTCTGTCACACGAGCAAGCATGGAAACAATTTTCAGTTGAATATGTTAGATGTATTTTCATACAATCTAGGAAGAATAATCAAATTAAATGTCTGTTTTGTTCAATAGCTTTGTGTTCATGGTCAGTTTTTAGTTTTGGTTTGGGTTTTTTATTTAATTACTTGGAAAAGCAAAATATCCTGAAAGACTTATTAATGGAATTTTTTTCCCCACATTGTTGAGTCATGTGGCTGCTTGAGAAACTTCAACGTCTTATTAAATATTAAAAATTACTCCTACTTACTTAAGAAGTTGCTAATTCTTGGGGTTGTTTTTTTTTTGTAAAACAGCTCTACATAGCTATTTTTGCACCAGTTGGGTTTTTTCATGAAAGAAAAAAAGAGTGAAATGGTACATACTAAGCAAGAACACTCTGACAGTGAGGTAACTGGATGTTGTTCTTTCACAGTGAAAACTTAAACATCAAACATCAAGACTGTGGAGATAATGCTTTAAGCTTCTATGGACATGGTAACAGTTGCTCTTTGGCTTGTTTTCACACCATTGCTTATTACAAAAATACTGATTTTTTCCTTTTTTTTTTTTTTTTTTTTTTTGCAGTGCTGGTTTCTGTTGCTTGTAATTTTACAGGCTTTAATGATCTTGAGCTGGAGTCATGCAGCCCTCCCCTAGTCCTTGCACCTTGGGTCTGTGTAGCTGTCACTGCTCGTTCCTGCTTGGTCAGGTCTGAATTTGACTGCCTTTGGCTTTTCCAGATGGAGAGCTCCATTTTTTTGTGAATTGAGAAACTTACTGTCTGTCTGCTAAATCAACAGCGTAAGAGAGGCTGTTGGGATGGATGCAGGGAGCTCTGCTCTGCCTGTGGAGTTTTGGGTATGGTTAGAGGTACTATCCACGTTGCTGCTGATCCAGATGAGAAGCACAGAATGGTTTGTGTAGGTTGGGAGGGACCTTTAAAGATCATCGAGTTCCAACTTATGGGCAGGGACACCTCCCTCTATACCAGTTTCCAGGGAGGGGGCTTCTCCAGCAGGTCAGGGCAACCGTGAAGGACCATGTAACTCTCTTCCTATCCATTTATTCATCTCACACAGTTGAGAGAGAGCCCATATGTCTTAGTTATTTCTTTGAACACAGTAACACCTCCCCTGGGAAGAGGCCGAATGAGCAGCCGAGGGCAGTAACCACTTAACCCCTCACCAGCTGGGCTACTTCAGCTGCAACAGCCCATTGAGGAGATGAATGAGAAGTAGCACCTGCTGCTACCTCGGTGAACATTCATTTAAAAGCCACATCTTTTAACAGTAGGTACTATTTTTACTAGTGCTCATCAAGCTGGTGGAGCACATCACGGTGATGTAGGGTCACAGCCAGCTGGGACATCTGGGCTGACACAGCACACCTACTCTCTGTGTGAATTTTACTGTAGGAAGAAAAGGAAGACAACAAGGCGGGAGGATTAAGAGACCCCAGGTGCTGATTTCATGGAGCAGGTGAAGCTGTCTCCATCGCAGTCAATGGGTGGCTCCGAGTGCCTGGTATGCTGGTGAGAGCACAAACGGCCATGAGCACCAGGTAGAGAAGGCTAAAAAATACTGTGAGGAAAAAAAAACCACTAACAAAAATATTACAAGTAACAAATTTAAGAGAAGGGTCAACCAGCCACACAAACACCTACATAATTTGAAATGAGCCCTGTAAAACACAGATCTGTCACACCAGTTTAACCAGATGGTTAACGTGGGCTGGCTGCACAGGAGAAAGCCTGGAGTGCCACAGCTCCATCCAGGTACAAATCCCAGGTGCTGCTCTCACAGGTGGGAGATGAATTAAGCATCGGGGATCAGAGCAAGAACTTCACACAGGCCTTTAAGCACTGAGTCTGGTACAGGCACATCTTCCAGGCATG